TATTATATATATAATTTTAAATATTTATATATATATATATAATGTTATCATTAAGAGCATTAAACACATACTGATCGTACGAATTACGAATTTTCTTTAAAGATATTGGTGTTACCATATATGTAATTATTTTATTTGTTATAAATCTTTGTTGAACTACTTGACAAGTAAAATAAAGATTCCATTATCATACTTTAACCCTTAAATCAATATTAACTTTAGTATTTCAAATAGCGACCCAGTTTTTTTTTTTTTTGTTATTAATCTTGTTTAGCATAAAAAAGAAAAAACCAATTTTAAGAAATTATAAACAAAATATCAATATTTAAAGTTCAGGGGATTTAACAAATAAAACAGTAGTCTGGTAAATACAGTAACATTAATATTTAGTGTACCAATAAGGACTATTGGTGTATTGTTCTGGGTTATCAGTTATGACCTGTAAAATATCAAATTTTTCATGATTTTGTGGTAATTCAATACAATATTGACTTCATTTGGCAATTATGTTAAAAAACTTATGCCTGTATAATAAAAAAAATTATTCATATTTACAAAACAGTCATTAATAGAATTTACCCTTTGTTATGCATAATTGCAGCAAGATGAGATGTTTTCATTCCAGGAGCGGCACACATATCAAGTACTGTACTTCCAGGTATTGGATTTAAAAGAGTTGCTGCCAAACAACTAGCCTGAAATAATTTTACTCTATCTAATTATTTGTACAATTAAATTCAAAATACAGTTTTTTATAAATATTGAAACTGAAATAACCAAAGTGTAATTCATAAAAATCCAAAAATTATAATGCATTATTTAAAATTACACAAACTCAAATACAGCAATTTATTTTTCCATGAAATCACCGATAGAATTATAATAAAATCGACCAAAATCCAAACCTTAAAACATTTTTAGTTTCTTCTGAAAAATTGGTATTTTTGAAATATGAATTTTACGAATTAGAATGACAATAAATTAATTTTATTCATATATTTTGCTTATTTCATACAGTTATTATATCTCCTTCTGAGAACAATAATTACTGAACTCCAAAAATTTCATAACTGAGATAACATTATTCTTTATCAGCTTATTTTAAGTATGCAAAAGTACCACAAAGTTTTACTAGTTTCTACTAGAATAGAATAGTTGTTCTTATTTTCACTTCAAAATGTTTGGACTAAGATTTTCAAAAGCAACCATTTTTAAAGATTTTTGAATAAAGTCACTATTACTATCTTCCTCCAGACCCTTGAAGTGGTGCCATCTAGACACCAATGGTACCCACATATATATATTTAAAATCTACAATTTTGAAACACCAAGATTTTTAATCAAAATTATTTTACCTTAGTTATAGAAAAATATGCATTTGATTAAATATCTAGGTCTTAGTAATACATTAGTATAACTTGATATTTTTACCTTATCTTGCACAATCAGATTTCCATTTTTGTACTCTTCTAACTTGTAAAATTTTACTTTTGGATTAAAAACTAATAATTCTTTAATATGTATGTCTTGCATAAAACAGTTTTTTGTAAACTTTTTAGATTTTAACAATTCTAAAAAATCATTATAATTTGATGGTGTCTTTAATTTTTTAAATTTATTTACAGTTAACTTTTTTAAAACATCTTCTAATGTGGTTAATAAAGTGTTGATGCGAAAATATCGAGGTTTCCATGCTAGAAGAGACATATCATTTTTTGTATTATAAATTATTTTATAAATATATAAAAGGTGTCTTTACTACAGCACTTATAAATACTTAACTATTGATACAATTATAATTTTATAGAAATTAAAAAAAAAATATATTGCCTATTAGACAATGTTTAAAGCATATTTTTATTATTTGTCATTTATAAGAAAAAAATTTATTTATTTTCAAAATTTTGAAATTGCTATTTTTTAATTCAAAAAAATGTTGATCATTTGATAACAATTTTAGAACTAGTATTCATTAAATTTCAAGAATTTTAATACATAGAGTGTGTATGTAGTGAGGATGAATGCAGTAGATACCAGTGAATATGTTGTGTACATAAAGTATACCATGAACACTAAAAAATGTATATATATTTTTTTTTATAAGTGATCAATATTAAAAATATGCTTTAAACGTTTGCTAAGAAGGCAATAATTATTAAAAAGAAAAATTTCAACGAAATGATAATTATATCAAATGTTATAAGCGTTGTCAGTTAGATCTGAAACATACTGTATATTACATACTTTTGAGAGGCATTGAAGTTACTAATTTTTCTAAATCATTTTCTTTCATAAGATTAACAAACTCATGTTTGTATTTTTTAACAGCTAGAATATTTTTTGCAGTGCCTTTTAAACCAAATTTTGACCACATCATTTCAGTAATTAATACACTTGCAAAATCCTTCTCTAAATTCCTTTCTTTTTCTAGTATATTACTTTTCTCTATTAAAACATCTATAACTTTTTCCCATTTAAACACATTCATGAGGACAGCATTAAGAGTTAATTTATTCTGGAACATATAAAAATGAAAAATTTAATTTAATTAAGTCAATAACTACAATAAATTAAAAGTAATAATAATTTATTAGTGAATAAACAAACTTATTAGAACGAAATCAATTTTTTTTTTTACATAATACACAAACTTAAAAATTTCTACAAACTATGAATCATATTCTAATAGATAGATAGTAGAATGTATATTTTCCAAAGTGCAGAAAAATCAATAGCAATATTCAAAATAGAAAATTTTCCAACTAGATCCAGTGTCAAAACTGAATATTATTAACTTAATTTAAATAATATTAATAATTATAAGAAAATGTGTAAATATAAAATAAAACATGAAACCTATGTAAAGTAGGCTTTTGTTGTTGAGGCTTTATTTATAATAAAAAAAACTGCTACTTAGTGCAGTATAGTACTACATACAGTTCCAATATATCATATAACTCAATATTTTTATGTAGTGGACATAGTGTAAATACATACAAATGTTCACTTAATTTTATAATTTTTTCCAGTTAAAAATTACTTTAATTCCCTCAAACAAATTTAACTATAAGCCAATCTTTATTAATTGTATACATTATAATGGATGAAACAGTGAAATGACAAATTTTAAAATTGGTAACTGTAAAAAACCAAAAAAAAAATTTCAGACTACCAAAAAGTAAGTTTAAGAAAGACTTATATGTGATTGGGGAGTTAATTAAAGAAGTCGAAAATAGAATAATTGGTGGTAATAGGAAAAAGTGATGGAATTTGTGTGTTAATTCTTCTCACTTTGTTCATCCGAGTTTCTTAATGTAATTTAATACACTTTTAACCAGCAGGGGAATCGACAAGAGGTTGTTAGGCGGGGCCTAACAACCTCGCAGACACTAGTTAATTCAACAGGGGTGGCAACACATACCACTGCACTTAGCCAGTCATGAACTTGGTTAGTTTGGGACCCAGGAAACCGCCATCCCCAACAACGGCAACAGCTGAAGGAAACCTCTCTACAGATCCAAAAGGAAATGTGGAGAGCGGACATAAAGAACGGTCGCCATCTGGGGACGGCGGGGGGACACCACCCACAGGGAGGATTGTCTGATACAGAGACTATTTCAGACACCTGTATCACACCCTGTACAGTGTGCTTTCTCAAGTGTCAAGATCAGTTTTCTGAATGGCTGACAATAGAATTCAATTCACGCAAATAAACCTGCATCACAGTAGTGTATTACTAAGGACCCTAACTGAGAGGCATACAACACCCTTACAAATAGCACTTATTCAGGAACTATGGATTAATGGCTAAATCTAAGGAATTTTAAACTGTTTCATAAACAAGCAGATAAAACAAGAACTTGCATTTTGGTTAATGATAAAGTTAAAGCCAGCTTGATACTTAATCTATCAAGTGCAGACTTGGCTATTTATTAGAGTAACACTAACAAGTTAAACTACTAAAATATCACTTCAAAAAGAGTGTTGTCAGTGGGCAGCTTCTCTTTTTAAAATAATCATGTCAAAAAATCATTATCATCTTTTATGCTTATTGTACAAATATTGTATAGACTGTATAAATCAAATAAAGAAAATTATATATATATATATTTTTTTTTTTTCTATAACTTAATTAATATTTTCTTACTGGATACTGTGCTTTATATAAAAGAGTTTTATAACTATTTCCAGTCTTCACTTTTTGAAGTATTTTTGCAGCAATCTTGTACAATCCTGTAGTTCTATCGATGTTTTTGCCACATTTTTTTTTAGGTTTAGTTATAACCATCTACAAAATATTTAAACATTGAAGTAGCTAATTAATTAACAAATCCACCAAGAAATTCAATATTGTTATGAGAGTATATAGGAAAAATTACTAAAAGAAATATGTAAACATTCAAATATACCAATTACTATACATGGCCAGGGTTTGAATCAAAATTATTTATTTTGTTTTTATATTATGACAGTTGAAATGTTAACAATATTGTTGCATTATACATTTTAAATAATTAAAATGTTATTGATATTATTATTTTCTGTTTTATGGTTTTTATGATTAAATTTTTTTATTGATAATAGCCAGATTAGTGAAATTTAAGTTCGATTGTTTAGGTTATGAATGATTATTTCGATTATGAGAATGTCTTAAATACTAATTATTCGACTAGACCCATTACTACTAAATTATAAAAGTTATATAAATACAATAAATTTACTTTTTTGATCCTCAATATTGTTTCAGCAACTATTAAAAATCAAAAAATCAAAAAATTAAAGAAAATAAAAATGCATCTTGAGAAAAAATTAAGTACAAAATGAAGTACAGTAATTAATTAAGAAAAGTAAATGTATTTTTTGAATAATACTAAATAACATATACGATTAAATTCAACGAACTGATTAATACGCTTCCGCATTCAGAAAAATGATTAATTTATTATTTAATAAAAATTTATAATGTATATTATAAATATGATTTTGAAGTCACGTGTTTTGTTTGATAATGTTAAGTAATCAATTACTTAATACCAAATACCATGGTTATATCACAGATAAGATAAAACCAAATGATGCACTTTCTATTGCAAACGTGTAATTCTCAGAATGTAAACAAACCAAAACCACAGACTATATGAAAACAGATAGTTCACTTGGCCCGATAACAAAACGGTTTTTTGATTGGAGAAGTGAAATCAGTGCAACCATATGTATGAGCGCAAAAATTCTTTTAATTTATTTCATTATTAAATCTGCTGTAGCATAAATATTATGAAATTCCGTATATAAACATAATTATTGACATAAATTATTTGAATACATCATTAAATTAAGGTATTAAACCCATAATCCCTTATTTATGACTCAAAATCCCTAAATTAGTCATGAAAATTAAATAATTATCAGTTTTTATAATGTAAATTATTAACTACTTAAATTTGACTTGAGCAGTAACAATTATTATTGTTAATGTTGTCAATGATCACATGTATCTTATTTCGTGTTATATTTGGTGCTTTCTTTCAAAATATCTCACTACCTCACCAGTATGCGATGCTCAGTAAAGTTTTGTCCAAGTACATATTCCTTCAAGGATAAAAGCTTTTTTTCTTATCCTAAAGAAAATGATCGTTTGAAACTATGGATGAATAATTGTCAAACTAATCATTTGGCAGAGACTTTATCCAAAAAAAAATAATCTAGTAGTTTGCGCGGATCATTTTGACGATAAAATGTTTNTTTCTTTCAACGATACGTCAAAAGATCACAAATCGTATCTAGTCGAAGACGTTACACTCAAAAATTGAAGAATTTTCCTTCATTCCTCATAAGTGGGAGATATCTCCAAAATAATTACAATTTTAAAAATCAGTAATTTTTGACATTTTTTTCTTAACACTACCATAACTTTTTCAAAAATGAAAATTTTATATAGATATTTGATGTCTTTACCTATTATTTGGTATATTTTTTTTATAAATTTAACCCTTTA